GCAGTTGTGATAGTAGTAGTAGGAGTCGTGGAGATGGTGGGAGTGGTGGTGTTTTTTCAGTGGAGTTTCGGATTCTGACTGATTTTGCAGAGCTCGAAGGTTCGGCCCGACTCCGCCACCTCAAGTAGCCTTCCCTCGGAATCGAGAAGCTTCGGGAATGAGATTTGCAGATTGCCCCTAAAACCCTAAACTCCACAGCGGGAAACCCACGGCATTAGGATTGGGTTTAAGGAGCAGGTGCTAGTTAGGTAGGACTTAGAGCCTCCAGCCCCCCAGCCTCCAGCTCACCGGCTGCGCCCGAGAACGCCCAAAATAGGATCACTTCCCAGCAGTACCTCACCTTGAGCTCTAGGCTGTAAAGCTTAGCAGATGTTATACTACTACCCGAAGCCCTGCACCGTATAGGCCTAAATCTTGTCAGTGTTCATCTTTCCGGCCCATCCCCAAAGACCTCTGCGAAGCAACTCCTCGGAGGCATTCAGGAAGCAATGGAAGGCCGGGTTTAGGATATCGATTTTTAGGGTTTTTGAGAGTTTGAGCGTGCTCGGGTTGTTAATAGTCAGAGACACCAAAACCCTCCAAGTTGGTCACGCGGTCTAAAGGTGCAACAGCATTGTTCCAAAGAGTCAGCGGCTACGAAGGTGTTTCCTAAATCCTCAGCCCTAAAACCCTAAACCCTAAACCCTAAACCCTAAACCCAAACCCGGTGCCAGTTTCAGTTTCGGGAGCTCGAGTGGTCCGGTGGATTTGGTGGTCTCCAGCTTCGGGTTCAGGGCGGGGACGCAGGCTCCCAAAGTCCTAAACCCTGAAAATCAACGCCTGTTCAAGGGTGAATGGTTCAAGGCTCGGCACCCCCAGGCCTTAAACTTAAATTCGACACGAGAGCCTGGGCTCAACCCACCCGAACACAAACTCTGGCCGAAACCCACAGGCCCTGGGCTTAAGGCCCAGACCTTAAACAAGGTACCATAGGGGCGCAATTACCAAGACTACTTTGGGGGTTCCTGATGAAACCTTATTCTAGCTATTCAGGCAATTACACCTGGGACCCTAAAGCCTCAACACGGCTTCGGCTCTTTGGGGGTTCTTCCCCTTTTTTGGGGGCCACTAGAGCTCAAGACCCAAAGCCAGGCCTGGCTTCGGTTTTTTCTGGGGTTTAGGGCTTAGGGTTTAGGGCTTAGGGTTTAGGGATGAGGGCTTAGGGATGAGGGCTTAGGGTGTTCATGGGGGGTCTAGGAAGTCGGAGTTTGGGATGTTGGGATCGAAGGCAACCTGAAGCCCTAGAGCCGAGCCAAGCTCTGTCTCAATCCGAGCCTTGGAGCCCTAAAGCCCCAGAAACCAAGCGGTCCCCAGCCCCCCTAAGCACCCTGATCCCTGAAGCCCTTGTAATAACCAGACAGGATCCTTGCTTTACCAACCTCCTGTACCACACCGCCAGGAGAAGCGGAAGCCAACGAAGATGCGCGCTTCCTCCCGCGCGGTGAGCATCCGCCGGGACCCGGTCCTCAGTGCCGGGAGGAGCAAGCGGTAGCAGTAAGCGTACTAAAAAGGGTTGTTTCATGTACTTAAATAGTGCTGTGTCGAGCTCAGCGTCGTGCCGGAGATCCCCCGAGTTATTTTGGCGACGGAGTTCTAGCAGATACGTTTGTGCCTCCCGGGCTCTGGAGTCGTAGAAGTAGTGTTCCAGGTCTCTGATCGGAGCGGAGCCGGGTTTCCTGGAATTAAGGGCTCCTTGTAGGGGTCAGCTCGATGTGATGCCGATGCGTTTCGCCTAAGTTTTGGGGGCTCCGAACTCACTGTAGGGTCGTAGCCTCAAACCTAGACCGCCAAGTCGCAAGACTCGAAATGGACATAGTGCCCCAAAGAACCGAAGCTACCATGTCCCTGGATCGAGCAGGGAGCACTCATGTGCCTTCTGTTCCAGTAGGATTTGTATTTTACGTATCTGCTCATGAGCGAATCGACAGTTTGAAAGGGATCGGCTGAGTGGCAGGTAGTGAAGCTCTGGCCGTTGCTCAGGATGCTCGTCACTCGGGGTTCGTGGGGCCAGGTGTGATGCTCGCCTCTCGGGCGGTTTGTAGGGCCTCAGTGTGCTCATGATGCTCGCCCCTCGGTAGCCAGGCGTGGTAACAAAGCTCCGGCTGATGCTCATGATGCTTGCCCTTGCGCGTTTGTAGAGGCCAAGTGTGGTCGCAAATCTTC